CCGACCGTCGCACTCATATGCTCAAAAACAAGGGTGGCACCACTCAAAAGGCTAACAATACCAAAACTGGAATTAGTAGCCGCACTGCTACTGTCAAAACTCATGGCTCACATCAAAACCACCCTAAAAATGAAAATAAGAGCTACACACTTATGGACACAATGGAGGTACGTACCCGGAACATCAAACACAGCTGACTGCGCATCCAGAGGACTCAACACCCAACAACTCAAGGATCACGCTCTATGGTGGACAGGCCCAACATGGACACCAACTTCAGACTCTTGGCCAGTGCAACCAGTTGACAGAAATGACCAATGCGATCAAGAAGCTCGCCCAAATGTGTCGTTAACCGTAACCACCAAAGAATCAGAATACGACTGGAAAATTGTTTACAAATATCCAACACTTAATGAATTACTTAGAATAACTGCGACATGCATTAGGTTCGTCGCGTGCCTAAGGGGAAAATGCCCCACATCAAACCAACTGACACATACGGAAATAAATCTGGCAAGAACACAGTGGATAAGATTGACATAAAACACATACCTTTGTCAGGAATTACGAGCAATGCGAACTACAGGATTACCCTCATCTCACGCCTTTTACCGACTGACGGTTTACATCGATGCACACGGAATCATAAGAGTCGGTGGACGATTAATGAACGCAGCAATATCAGAGAGTAAAAAAACATCGAGCCATCCTTCCGAAGTCATCACAATTTACAAAACTCATCATCGAACAAGCACATCTCAAAACAATACACGGGGATCAGCTGTAAAATCACACATTCTAAGGTGCATCACTTGCGCGAAACAACGAGGGATTCACGCCAGCTAATTAATGGGACAACTACCTTTTCCAAGAGTAACGCCTTCGCGATCATTCACTCACACTGGAGTGGATTATGCTGGTCCCCTTACCATAAGGACATGGAAGGGTCGAAGAGCAAAAACCTACAAGGCCTGGATTTGTGTACTTGTCTGCCTCACTACGTCAGCAGTGCACATTGAAGTAGTGGGTAATTACTCAACAAAAGGGTTCATTGCAGCATACCGTAGATTTTCAAACCGCAGAGGCACTCCACAGGTCATGTATTCCGACTGTGGAACAACATTCGTCGGAGCCGACAAGGAATTAAAAAAACTAT